AGGGTGGCTGCCTGTGGCGGACCTCGGCAGGGGGCCCATGCTCTTAAAGCCTGCAAAAGCCCCCCTCGGAGTGTGGGAAGTAAGAACACCAAAATCAGGAAGAGGGCAACTCAGAGCCGGCTGGTTGTGGGAAGTAATTTTAAAATTTTAATTAATTAGTTAATTAACTTTGGAGAAGTTTTTGCTATAGGGCGTGTGCACTCACCACAAAGACAGAGAGAGACAGAGAGACAGAAAGTGAGAAATCACCCCCCAGGGGGATGGTCACGCCGCAATCCCTTTTCCTTCATTTTCCTCTCAGGATCTTGGGCACGCACACACATGTGCCCAGTGTGAGTTTAAGCCACCGAGTCCAGGACTCGAACCACAGTCGACTACGTGGGAGTCCACATAGCCATTACACCAATTGCTGGTCCCATGAGTTTAAGCCACTGGGTCCAGAACTAGAATCGCGGTCAACTATATGGGAGTCCAGCGATGTAGCCATTATGCCATCTGCTGGTCCCATGGGGAAGTAATTTTAAAAGGTAAAAATGACAATAAACAGAGTCACAGCAGCCAGGGCACCTCCCCCCGGGCTCCAACTCTACACCCATCTGTGCCACCTCCCCTGTCTGACTCTCCTGCGTCTTGCCCTACAAAGACCCTGGCTCTCCAAGACCCCACCATCCTGGCAGGACTTTCAGGGCTCTTCCCACTTCTGCTCTTCCCACTCCTGGAGAAGAAGAACTTGCCTCTGTGTCCTCATTGCTGGTTCCAAACCATTTTCCTGCTTTCCTCCTAAAAACACTGAGCTTGGACTCTGAGGTCTCTTGCCTGTCAGTCTCTACTCCCCCTGGTCACAGTCTATCATGCAACCCTGGTCCCCCCTCATTTCTCAGAGATTTCTGTCCTGGCTCACCGCCACATTCAGTCACACTCCTGCCATTTTTCCTGCAACATCCACAAGAGGATCTTCCCAGCACCTGTTCTCCCCAGCCGTTCTCCGCCATCCTGCCTCGGCCAGTTGCCCAGCCACACCTGACATTCAACCTATGTCCGCCAGCTACACGTGGCCACTAAGATGTAAATGAAATAAAATTAAAGGGCCAGCAGGTGACATGATGGATAAGACTCTGGACTCCCATGTAGCCAACCACGATTCAAGTCCCAGACTTGGAGGCTTTAAAATGACACCAGGTGTGTGTGTGTGTGTGTGTCCAAAATTCCAGGAGGAGGAGGGAGGAAAAGGGATTGTGGCATGGCCATCTCTCCTGGGGGGGGGTGATTTCTCACTTTCCCTCTCTGTCTCTCTGGTGAGTACACATGCTCTATGGCCAAAACCTTATTTAAAAAAAAAAAGAAAAAGAAAAACAAGTCCCACTGGGTATGTATAGGCACATGCCCAGAATCCCCAAAGGAAAACAGAAGAGAAGGGATGCGGTGTGACCATCTACCATGTGGGGTGCTTTCTCACTCCCCCCCCATTCCCCTGTGTCTGTCTCTTGTGAACAATGTGCACTATAAAAATTAATATACCATACATGGCCAATGACCACTGACCAGTACTGGTACAGGCCATTTCACTAGACAATGTTCTAGTGGACAGCACGTGGCCTTGTTCTTACCATTACCAGAGACATCAAACATTCACTTTCTGAAAGCGATCTCCTTTCTTTCCAGCTTATTCCATCTGGTACCCCAACTCCCACAACTCTGCAAATCCCACGACCTATAACTGTTGGGAACCATCATGGTTTCACAGGGCTTCACCACTTGGTACCTCCCACCTCCTCGTTAATTGGCCTCAATTCTACCTTCAATGGTTAGAACCGCTCCTGGCCTCTGCCTCGATTCCCCTTCTCCTTCTCCTGCTTGTCCTTGCTTGGGCTAAGCCACAGCCCTTTGGTTCAAGCCAGTCTCCATCTGGTCTGTGCTGCATCCATGTAGCTGACTACTGAGGCTGGAGGAAAATGCCCAGTTGTGATTGGCAGTGAACCATCTCACTTTAGACTGGAGGCCGCTGGCCTTCACTGGGTCGTTATGCTTCACAGCAAACATCTCGCATTTCCCTGGTCCCATGGTTCTCCCTTTTGCAGATGGCTATTCCACACCCATCTTCTCTCCTTAAACCTCCAACAATTCCTTTCTGCTCCCGCATTCATTCCTGTTTCACAGATCTCCCTCCACCCAGCTTCCCTCCTATTAGTGAGGCCAACTCCAACTCGTGTGGATTGGATTCCATCTCTCCACCTGCTGAAGGACGTGGTTTCAGCAGCTTCCCTCTCCATGGATTATTCCAATTGGCAGACAAGAAAATGCTGTTATCTCTTTCATCTTAAAACACACACACACACACACACACAACCAAAACACTTCTTCTGGATTTCCATTTCTCTCCTTTATAGCAGATAACTTGAAAGAGTCATAAATACCAGTTGTCTCTGGTCTCTCGCCTTCCACTCTGTGCAGCTTATTTATTCCACTCAGCCTTCTGCTCCATCATTCCACAATACCAGCCCCATGGTGGGCACCGATTGTTTTGCATTTTTAACTTGAACAGCCAGTGCTCAGGGCTCATCTCATTGACACAGTGGACTGCTCCCTTTACCATGAAACATCTCCACTTCCAAGATGTTGCACATTTCTGTTTTTCCTCCCACTTCTCCAAATGTGCCTTCTGTTTCTTTAAGGGCTTCCTTCTCATCATCTTGACCTCTAAATGTCAGAGTGCACCGAGATCTTGGACCTCTTTTTTTTTTTTTTTTTTCTCTCTACACTGACTTCCTTTATGTCTCATCCAACACAGGGCTTTCAATGTCATCAACATCCTGGTGTCTCCAGCTGGGACATTTTTCCTGAACTCAGACTCACATATTCAATGGCTTTCTCAACCTGTCCCCTTAGATGACAAATGGAAATGATAAACTCAGGCTGTTTTACATGGTTCTTCATTCCCACACCTACTTCAGTTTCTACAGCCTTGTGTTGACAGCCCAGTGAGGGGTTCATGTTGTCTCCTAGAGGCTGTACAGTCAGTACACAGCCCAAGGAAAAGCACAATATCCATGAGCATGCACTGCCAGCAGGCTTGCTCTTCCATTCACTTGGTGTTGACAGAGAAGAGTTACTTAACTTCTAGGCCTTGGTCATTTTCCCGTATAATGGGGCTGGTACTGGTGACAGCTTCATGAGGATGTGGTGAACACCAAAATGGGAAAATATGTATAAGGCATTAAGCACAATGTGTGGCTATGATAACTATCATAATTCCAAGTTGGCCTAGACCTGAAGAGCCACTTAATCTATAAAAGAATGAATTAGATGGATGCTCACTTTCATGTAAGGCAGGATTTTCTTTTGTTAAATTTCGACATTTGAGTCACAGCCTCAATTGCCTCCTTGCTGGCTTCTGAGTTCACATTCTTTGGCATACGTACCTTAACAACATGCTAGGTGAAATTCACTGAATAGTTCCTTAAAAAATTAAGAAAATAGAGGCGCCGCCTAGGACAGCAGAGCAGTGGCTGGGAGCCTGGGAGGCAGAACTGCGATGTTCTGGATTGAGGGCCTCGCGCCGAAACTGGACCCGGAGGAGATGAAATGGAAGGTGCGCAAAGACGTGATATCTTCCATATGGAATTTCCTCATCTACGTGGCCCTGCTGCGAGTCACTCCTTTTATTTTAAAGAAATTGGACAGCGCATGAAGATTGGGCATCACATGCAAATATATGATATGAAGAACCTGGTTACAGCTTCTGCTCCTATCTCCACATGAATAGGCCCAGAGAGGTGTAAGAGACTCTTTGATTGAATGGACATAAAAATTTCACTTGTTAAGAACAAGCTTGGGTCTGGTAACTGAACTTCATAGCTAAAATACAAACCTATTTGGGAAGTATGGAAAGATATCTTGTGGTCATATTGTGCCCTTATGCCTGTAATATTTGGCCTCCATGAATGTTGGTGCAATTGTAAATAATGCATTTTCTAGCAAGTATTAATTACAAGAAAATTATGCCTGAAAAAATGAAGAAAATAGTGAATTGTGTTTCAAACACTTATTAATGTGAAAACTCAGTACCATACTTACAGGTTAATGGATACCTTATGTGGATTGGTCCATGCACCGGTGTAACTTTGTTCCCACCAATGACGTCAATAAATTTGGGAATATTAAAATACATGAGTGGATATATGGGCCAAGACCATGGAGTGGCGTAAAAGTGCAGCCAATAAAATATACTCTTAAAACTCGGAGAATTGGTCAGATCCATAGATTTATGGAGATGTTTGTAACCTGGAACTATAAACTGCAATCTACCTTATTGTGATGAATCTTGCAGAAAAAGTGGGATCTCCTCTTAATTTTTGTTAAAATAGTTTGTGCTTGCATGAGGCAAAGTTGTGCTTCCAAGAGAACCAGCTCCCTTCAGAAAGGGTGATGGCGTTCTAGTGGGTTGTATGGATCCACTTTTAGGAGAAACAGCCAGGAAATGGGACATCTGGAGGTTGATTGTTCCCATCCACCAGGAGGCCAACACCATCTGCTCTCCAAAGAACCCAAGGGAGGGAGAACATGTAAACTCAAAAGTGAGGAGGAGGAGGCTGCAAACCTACCGTGACAAAGACAGAGGCTAGGAGCAAGCCCACTGAGTATATCAGTCCCCTGCTATTCAGCCGAATCTGTAAGAAAGGATTAAACACAGTTAGGCTTCCACAAAGGCATCTATCAGCTTAGCGCAGGGCACTTAAGCAACTCAGAGTAGCAGGGCTTCCAAATATCTTCTCTAGGATGGAAAAGCAAGACTGCCTTGTTGTCCAGGACCTGCAGTTTGTACATAGGATGACCATTTTCCCAGAAGCTCAGGGGTCTGTCCTTGTCTTGTCCACTCTTACTCCAATCCTGTCCTACTTTAGTGCTGGTACCACAGCTGGACCACCCTGTAGCCACTTAAATTTTCCATCCTGTGTTGAGTGAGTCTTGCTGCACATGGCCCTTTCCTGTTGAACTCCAGGGAGCTTTCACTTTCTCAAACTTGTACTATTTTTAGAGTGAATTTCATGACATGAGTAGTGGGGAAATGTGAATAACTTTTTATCCCCATTGCATTCAAATGTCTTTGTCCTCCCCCTAACTTGATGGGAAGAGGTAGGTGAGAGTTGCTACAATGGAGCAAGGAAAGATGAGGAAAGAGTCAAAATTCCATTTCTGATATTCATAAAAGGAATTTGTGGGGATTATTTTTCACAGTAACACAAGGGGACTAACAGCCAAACTTTGAAGAAAGAGAAACAATTTTTTGGAATTCTTTTTGTTTTGAAAAGCATTATTTTTTTTCTTCCATGAGAGAGCAAGAAAGAGCAAGGGAGAGAAAGAGAGAGGAGCATCCCAACAGGTCCCTACACCACAATCCACCCTCAGTTTCAGCCAGTCAAGATCATGGGCACATGTGTGTCTGGTGTACTCACGGAAGTCCTGAGAATAAACCCAGAACTTTTCCCGTGTGGGTCCCACTGTGTCACCACCTGGTCTCTGGAAATGTTACAGAATGGCATTTTATAGCATAGAAAGCAGATGTTTCTGCAGTGATGGAAATGATCTCTCTCTGTGCTGACCAATATGGCGACCATCAGGCACATCTGATTGCTGAGAGCTTAAAATGTGGCTCATGTAACTGAGGAGCACAGTTTTAACTGTGCTTTTTAAAAAAATGTATAATTTGCTAGAGGTCATGTGTACTTGCTGGAGCGAGAGAGTGAGACAAAGAGAGGAAAAGTGAGAAAGCACTACCCTGGTGGGGAGGAGAAGATAGAGAATGGCCATACCACATCCCTTTTCTTCCATTCTCCTCTTGGGAATTTTGGGCAGGCACACACACATACCTAATGTATTTTTCAAGTTGTTTTTCCAGTTCAGGAACTTGAGCCACACAGTTGGGCATGTGGGATCCAGCCATCTTAACCTCCATGTCACCTGTTTGCCCCCTCTGTTATCTTTAATTAATTTAAATTTGTATTTAAAGAGCTACATGTGGGGCTGGTCCCATACTGCAGTGGTTAGGTGCTATGCATGGGGAGCCAACTCCCACATGGCTGACTGTGGTTCAAACCCCACCCCCAGAAGCTTGAAACATATGCCAGGCATGAGTGCATGCCTACCCCAAATTCTGGTGGTATGGAGAAATGGAGAAAAAAGGACTGTGTCATGACCATGACTCACTGGGGGATGCTTTCTCTCTTTCTCTCATGAGTGCACACACCTTCTGGCAATAAAAAAAATACAAAGAGCTACATGTGATTAGTGGCTACAATATTGAGTAAAACAAGTAGAGAGTATTGAGGGGCTGACTTGGCCAACAAAGATCATAGAGTATCTTTCATAGTGCAGAGACGATACTGCATCTGCCTTTGATGAAGGTCACAAGGCTGACATCCTGAGATAGAAGGTCCACCTTAGAGCACAGGTTCTCCAGCATAGCAGCAGTAGCAGCATCCCTTAGGAGCTTGCAGAAATGTAGACTCACAGGTCCCACCCAGACTTCTGAGTCAGAAACTCTGGAGCATGGCCTGTCCAACTGAGCTTTTATCAAGACTCACATGAGATTCTGATGCATAGGAAAATTTAAGAACCACTGATTTAGAGAAAGTTTGGACTCACTTCAGATGTCCAAAGATTCTGGAGATAGGACTTTGACATTTATTTTTCAGAAGTTCTTTCAGAAGCTCATGTGCATCCAGATTTGAAGACCATAGCCCCCTGACAAATGTCCTCTGTCCTGCAGGGAATGGAAGCCTCACTTGTATTCACGGAAAGGTAAAGCAAGGCTGGTTGATTTGGGCATGGTTTTCACTAGATAACTAAGTGGTGCTTATTAGTAGGAGTGGTCGAGACCATTCTGACAAGGTTCAAGGTACTCCTTATGGTCATTTCACCAGCTCATCATCTGGGTATGTGTGGGGACTTATAGGTGTCTCCAGAGGGAGGCATGTCAGGGTCATCTTAACACCAGATGCCTTAAATAGCCAACCCTTTCTATGGGGGATCTGGTTACATCTCAACAAGCAGAGGGATTCTCACAGAGGGAATGAACTGGAATTCTTGTCATCATGTTGTGATCCTCCCCGAGCCTTGGCCAGCCCAGATCACAGGCATGTGCGCACAAACCTATTATGCAGGGGGAGACCTTAGGATGTGAACCCAGACCATCCTGTGTGAGTCCAGAATCACAGAGAATTGCATTACCACTGTGTCACTGCCTGGTCCTGAGGTCTTAATTTTCAACACTGTACAGGTTCTTCTAAGAACAGGGACAATGTTCAGCTTGCCCTCTGAGATCTGGGGCTGAATTTCTGTCAGCAGCAAGAATTGAGTAAAGTGATGTTTTGTCCTCAACAAACTAAGAGATAGGGACAGCAAAGATCCAAGTAGGAACATTCTCTTTGGGTGAGCATTTTCAAAATAAATCAAATTAAACCAAAGTTTTTTGAACTTTATTCCCTAAGTTCACATAAAATATTGAAGAACAGTGCTGCCAAAATTAAATATCTGGCACCAAAGATGAAAGATAATCAATGCTTTTGTGGAGTTTTTCGTTCTATTTTTAAAAAGGAATTATTTATTTAATTTTATTCATTTGTTAATATTTTTAATTTTATTAGAGAGAGAGAAAGTGAGAAAGTAAACTGCCAGATCTGGGACTCAAACCACAGGTGGTCACGTGGGAGCTCAGCACCTTAACCATTATGCCACCTGCTGACCTTACGTGTTTTCCACATTATCACTCTTTTCTCTGCAGCCTTCCTTTGGTAAGGCACTGCCATATGTACCTAGAGGTGTATTTTTGTATTTTTAATGATTAATTAGAAACCTCAGCTCTTGGGATCAGCAGTTAGTGTAATGGCTATGTCACTGGACTACCATGTAGTCGACCGCAGTTCTAGACCCGGTGGCTTAAAACTCACTCCGGACACATGTGCGTACGTGCCCAAGATCCCAAGAGGAGAATGGAGGAGAAGGGATTGCAGCGTGGCCATACCTCCTGGGGGGTGATTTCTTGCTTTCTGTCTCTCTCTGTCGGGCAAGCGCACGCGCCCTATAGCAAAAAGAAAAGCCTCTAAAAAAAAAAAAAAAAAGAAAAAGAAAAAAAAAAAAGAAACCTGAACCCTCAAAGCCTGTATCTATTTGTTGAATCTGAGCTCCATCATAGTGATGTGATAGTCAAGAATTAGGATTCCTTCAGTTGCCTTCTGGTCTAACTCACATATCTACTCAACCACTGGAGACCATGGATGGTTTGAGGTAGGGGTTAGGAAACTGACCACTGGAGACCATGTATGGTTTGGGGCAGGGGTCAGGAAATTATGACCATGGGTGGTTTGGGACAGAGGTCAGGAAACTGACAACTGGAGACCATGGAAGGTTTGGGGCAGGGGTCAGGAAATTATGACTCATGGGCTAAAACTAAAGCCATCACCTGCTTCTGTAAATAAAACTTCACTGGAACTCAGCTCATTTTTACACTGGCTACAGCTATTTTCACATTACAAGGGCAGAGGTGAATACTGGACAGAGATTATGCGGCTCACAAAGTTTAAAATATCTCCTCTCTGGCCTTTGCAGAAAAGGTTTGTCAACCCCTGGTTTAGGGCATGGGCTCCACACCCAGCTTCTTGGCTTTTGAATCCCTGCTTAGTTACTCACTTGCTCTATAATCATGGACAAGTAATTTTCCTTAGTCTCAGTTTTTGGATATATAAAGTAGGCATAATATAGTTCCTGTATTATGGGTATGAGGATTACTGGAATGATTCCACATTAAAACTCTGAAATAACCTGATGCGTAATAAATTCTCAGTAGGTGTAGGTCCTTATTGCCCACCCTCTGGATGAGCTGCATGGCCACACATCTGGCTTCTTCTTTTATAAACTCATCACTCATAGCTCTGATCATCACTAGATTATAAATATCACAAGAGCAGGGCTGACTACCCTCTGCCTGGCATAGGACTGGGCACAGACCATCTGCTTAATATATAAATGATGAATTAATAATGAATGCCCATGTGGTATCATTTCAAATGTGGTTTACCAGAAGGCCAGTGTTCCTGTGGGCGGTGGGGAAAGGTCAGAGCAAGGTTAGAAACAGAGAGATGCTGAGTGCCACTCCTTGGACAATGTTCCAGATACAATGTGAATCTGCCCAACATTCTTGTCTCCTTCCTCCACATTATTTTATTTTATTACATCAATTAATTAATTTTAAAAAGTCTTTCTCATAGGGCGCATGCACTCACCAGAAAGCGATTGAGAGGGAAAGTGAGAAATCAACCCCTAAGGGAGCTGATCATACTGCAATCCCTTTTCCTCCACTCTTCTCTTGGGACTTTTGGGCATGTATGCACACATACCTGATGTGGTTTTCAAGCCACTGGGTCCAGGACTTTAAACCACGGTCGGCTATGTGGAAGTCCAGCACCTTAACTATTGCCACCAAGGCACAGAACACGTCCCTCACCAAAGAACGTTCTCTCATGCCCTCCTTGCCAATTTCGTCCAGAAGAGGTCACTCTTGGGAGTTTCTCCACCATAGGCTGGTTTAGCTTGTTCTAGAACTTCATTTCAATGGAGTCCTATGGTTTGTACTCTGTCATGTGGCATTCTTTTACTCAGCATAATTTTTAAA